CCTCCTCCTCCTCCTCCTCCTCCTCCTCCTCCTCCTCCTCCTCCTCCTCCACCTCCTTCCTACCTCCAGCTTGTGATGGCGGCGGTGGAAAACAGGCCCATCACCGCGGGATCGGCACCGCAGCGGGCTCGATGCGCGCGGACGGACGCACGAGGGATCGGCGCCCATGCCCCGCCTCGGGGAGCAAGAGCAGCAGGGCGAGGGCGACGGAACCCTGGGATGAGGAGTCCATCGGCGGCGAGCGAGGTGGGGGAGCGAGGGGGAGGCCCTCTCGGAAGGCTCGGAGGTGCCCCGGCCTTCTGAGAAGTCTTCTGGGCCTTCCCCGACGACACACAAAACGCTTCTCAGGAGGCGCGAGGGCTTCTGCGAAGTCCCGCCGCCCTCTGAGAAGGCCTTCTCCCTATCATCTCCCCACTGGCTCGCCGCCGACTCATACTTGCAGATTACGCAGGAGAAATGAAATACACTCAAACAGAAACTCCAACATAGCCAAACAAAAACACGAAACGTAGTTTCCAGACCATGTTTGCGACCATCCTCGAATATGCCTCCTGTAGAGAGGACGTGCCCGACTGAACCCAACGCGAGCTGCACACGACGACGGGGGGAGATGACGGCAGCCCCACGGTCTCCGGACTCCCTCGCGGACCTCCGCATAGCACCTTTTCGTGGGCCCCTTTTTCCGTGGGCGAACAATGGCATCGGAGGCACAACTTGCACCACAACAAAAACCACCCAATGGATGGTTTGAAATGGGATCGGTAAAAAGATCGAGAAGAAAATCGACCGGGAACCCTGGAACCCAGAACCCACCGAAATCGGCCCCGAACCAAGGGCTATAGCAACCCAGGAGCCCGGAACCGGGAAGCCGGGAACCCGGCCGGCCCCCAAAATCGGCGGGGCACTTTCGCCAAGGCTTTCCATTTCCGCCAGGACCCCTTCAAGGCAAGCACTGCTTGGGAACAACGGCACAAACATAGGGAAACGAACAATGACATAAGCATCACAACTCGGAGGTCCGCGCGGATTTCTCGGATCGGCGCTGGGGCCCCCTGGCGGCGCCTCCAGAGCCGCCCCTGGCGCGCTCCGCGCGCCACGGAGGGGGGTCCAGCGCAGATCCAAGAAATCCGCGCGGACCTCCGAATTTTTATGTTTGTGTCCTTTTCCGTTCCCCTAAAGCAGAACCTCTCGGAGGTCCGCGCGGATTTCCGCCAGGACCCCTTCAAGGCAAGCGCTGCTTTTTAAAGGGGCCCAGGGACACACAAAGAAGTACACACGAATACAAGGATTCCCCATATGTTTCCATCTGTTTTGGATGCTCGTCTTCCCCCCACTATTTTCCCACATTTTTCTTGGGATCGACGATGAATTGTGTCTGTGTTTTTTTTGTCCCTCCTGAGTTTTGGGGAACAACGGCCCACACAGCACCTCTCGGAGGTCCGCGCGGACCTCCGAACTTTTATGTTTGTGTCCTTCTTCCTTCTTCGTTCCCCTTCTTTGTGTCCCTCCTGAGTTTGGGGGAACAGCGGCACAAACAGAACCTCTCGCGGAGGTCCGCGCGGATTTCCTGGTTCGGGGGGGTGCAAATCATGACCGGCGGCATGTGCGCGGCCCAGCGGGGGGGCCAGGGACGGGGCCAGGGACGTGATGAAATATCATGGCCCCCTATATGATATCCCCCCCCCCTAGTCATCACCCCCCTCTTTTCCGCCCCCGAAAAGCAGAACCTCTCGCGGAGGTCCGCGCGGACTTCCCGGAGCGGCGCCGGACCCCCGTCCGTGGAGCGCGGAGCGGCGCGCCGGCGGCGCCGCCCCGTGGGGGGGCCCACTGCCGAGCCGAGGCGCATCCGCGCGGCGCTCCGAAGCATGGCGTGTGCAGTCAGCCAGTACATCGGGGGCGGCAAAGAGGGGGGTGTCCAAGAGGGGGGGGTGCAAATCATGACCGGCGGCATGTGCGCGGCCCAGCGGGGGGGCCAGGGACGCAATGAAGTAAGAAGAGGCGCCATGAAATCTGGGGAAATATCATGGCCCCCGCCATGATATCCCCCCCCCCTAGTCATCACCCCCCTCTTTTCCGTCCCCGAGTACAGTAAGGGTGCGCGATAAGGATTCGGGCTGGACGACAGGGGGGGATTGAGCAAGGGGGGGTACGAAATTTGCTGCATGCAGCTGGTTTCGGAACCCATCGAGAGGCCCCTTCCTCGATACATAGGCGCCTCCGGCGCCGGGAGGCGCCGGGAAAATCAGCTACGTGAGCGGATTCTCAAACCCCCCTTTGCTATCCCCCCCTTTCGCCCGGCCCGAAGGATGCAAGGGCCTCGGACGCCAATTTCAAATCTGCTCGAGCGGGGCGGGGCCAACGGAGCTGGCGACGGATGGACCGAGGAGGCAATGATGCAAGGGTACCCATGAGGGAAGGCTGCCCATCCTTACTCTGCGGGATGACCGTACGAGTGTTTGTGTTCTTCGAGGGATGTCGGGCGGGTGGTAGCTGAGCACGTTCTTAGGGTGGAGGGCTCGGGGTGAAATCCATATGGGCTTCTGCACCTCGAAAGTCAATCCGTCTTGTGATCCACTTCTTGCAGACTCAAGCCCCGAAAATCCATCGAAACTGCATTTCAGATTCCGCCCTTTGCCCCCCACCCAAGGATTTGGACGCCCGAAATGGGCACGGAAAAAATTGGCACAATGCCCAACAGCAAGTGTTGCCCCAAACCAACAGCGGCCGCTGTTGGGTCGGCAACCTTCTGTCTCAAGCGAACACAGGCCGCGGCGGCGCGGACATTTGTTTGTTGTTTCTTTTTGTTTTTTCTTTTTTTCCCCCCCCCCCCCCAACCATCCTGTGGTGTTGGGTCCTCGTTTTGAAAAGACAGCGCCCCGCGTCCCTCACTCACTCCTCCTCCCCCTCCTCACTCCTCCCCCTCCGCGTCAGCCACACCCACTTCGGCACACCCCTCACACGTTTCGTGGCCCCATAGGGAGCTCCACCGAGGGCTCCAGTGGCTGCGTTCGCATGGCGGCACCGCGCCCATTTCGGCACACCCCTCACACGCTTCGTGGCCCCATAGGGAGCTCCACCGAGGGCCCCCGTGGCTGCGTTCGCATGGCGGCACCGCACCCATTTCGGCACACCCCTCACACGCTTCGTGGCCCCATAAGGAGCTCCACCGAAGGCCCCAGTGGCTGCGTTCACATAGCGGCACGGCACCAATTTCGGCACACCCCTCACACGTTTCGTGGCTCCACATAGCATTGCTCCACCGAATAGGGAGCTCCACCGAAGGCCCCAGTGGCTGCGTTCGTATGGCGGCACCGCACTCATTTCGGCACACCCCTCACACGTTTCGTGGCCCCATAGGGAGCTCCACCGAGGGCTCCAGTGGCTGCGTTCGCATGGCGGCACCGCACCAATTTCGGCACACCCCTCACACGTTTCGTGTCCCCATAGGGAGCTCCACCGAAGGCCCCAGTGGCTGCGTTCGCATGGCGGCACCGCAGTCATTTCGGCACACCCCTCACACGCTTCGTGGCCCCATAGGGAGCTCCACCGAGGGCCCCAGTGGCTGCGTTCGCATGGCGGCACCGCACCCATTTCGGCACACCCCTCACACGCTTCGTGGCCCCATAGGGAGCTCCACCGAGGGCCCCAGTGGCTGCGTTCGCATGGCGGCACCGCACCGGCACACGGCACACCCCTCACACGTTTCGTGGCCCCATAGGGAGCTCCACCGAGGGCCCCAGTGGCTGCGTTCGCATGGCGGCACCGCGCCCATTTCGGCACACCCCTCACACGTTTCGTGGCCCCTGAGGGAGCTCCACCGAGGGCCCCCGTGGCTGCGTTCGCATGGCGGCACCGCACCCATTTCGGCACACCCCTCACACGCTTCGTGGCCCCATAGGGAGCTCCACCGAGGGCTCCAGTGGCTGCGTTCGCATGGCGGCACCGCGCCCATTTCGGCACACCCCTCACACGTTTCGTGGCCCCATGGGGAGCTTCACCGAGGGCCCCAGTGGCTGCGTTCGCATTGCGGCACCGCACCTGTTTCGGCACACCCCTCACACGTTTCGTGGCCCCATGGGGAGCTTCACCGAGGGCCCCAGTGGCTGCGTTCGCATTGCGGCACCGCACCTGTTTCGGCACACCCCTCACACGTTTCGTGGCCTCATAGGGAGCTCCACCGAAAGCTCCAATGGTTGCGTTCGCATGGCGGCACCGCACTCATTTCGGCACACCCCTCACACGTTTCTCGGCCCCATAGGGAGCTCCACCGAAGGCCCCAGTGGCTGCGTCCGCATGGCGGCACCGCGCCCATTTCGGCACACCCCTCACACGTTTCGTGGCCCCATAGGGAGCTCCACCGAAGGCCCCAGTGGCTGCGTTCGCATGGCGGCACGGCACCAATTTCGGCACACCCCTCACATGTTCCGTGGCCCCTGAGGGAGCTCCACCGAGGGCCCCAGTGGCTGCGTTCGCATGGCGGCACCGCACCCATTTCGGCACACCTCTCACACGTTTCGTGGCCGCTTAGGGAGTTCCCTCTCATTCGTTCAACCTGCTTTGCGGTACTCGTAACTGGGTCCATCGCCCGGATATTTTTTGTATATATATATATATAAACATACATACATACATACACATAAAAACGCAAAAATACCCTTTGCCCCCCCACCCAAAACCCATGCTCGGGGCAATGATGATGATGGGGTGACCGACGTGGGCGGCGAAGAACACAAGAGCTCTTTCGGGCCGCTCTTGGGAGCCAGCAGGGGCCCAGAAGGGGGCCCCGAAGGGCCCCTTGAGGCCCCTGTTCTCCACCCACCCTATTGAGGAGGAGGAGGAGGAGGAGGAGGAGGAGGAGGAGGAGGAGGAGGAGGAGGAGCAAGAGATTGAGAGGAGGAGGAGGAGGAGGAGGAGGAGGAGAGAGGGAGGAGGAGGAGGAGGACGAAAGTACCCCCCCAACCCCACATTACCACCCGGCCGAAAGAGCACCCCCCGCGCGCCTTCTCTTCCTGCTGCCTCCGTTCCAGCGCCGCGAGCTTCCTCTTCGCCCTGGTGCGGCGCCACAGCAGCTGGACCCTGCCCCGCGCCCCCAAACCTCCTCCACCCCCTTTCCTAAGAAGTAACTCCTCCTGCCACTCCCCCTTCTCCTTCTCTTGATAATGCTCCTCCTTCTCCTCCTCCTCTTCCTCCTCCTTCTCTTTCTCTTGTGTTTCCCGTTCCCCTCCACTTCGCGTCCTCGTGTTCGTCCTCCCCTCCACGCTGCCACCCTCCAACTCCGCCTCTTCTCCGTATGACGAGCTCCTCCCTGCCGCACCCCCGAATGGGTCGGTAGGGCGGGCGGGGCGTTTCGCCTGAGACTCCCTCACCACTCATTACCCTCAATCTTGGAATTTGCAACTGTTTCAGAGATGGAGGGCGGCTCATGTTCAAGATGTGGTTCTCGCCAAAGCGCCGTGCCTATTCGTCTTAAAAGTTCAGAGCAGCTCCAAGGAATCAGGGACTGTATGGTGCTCTTGAATGACTCAGGCATGATTAAGGGATGTCCGGAGGCAAAAACCACATTTATTCGCGGTGTGAAGTTCCACGACTGGCAGATTTAGGATTGTCAGGACGCACCAGTCACGTTGATCCGCGGCATTGCAGTTTCAGCGATTCTGTTCTGGCATAATTTACGATTCTCAAACGGTTGTCTTCCAATTGGACACTTCCCGCAATGAACGCACTTTCTTGTAGGGACCTGTGAAAGAGGGAACTTGGAGGAAGGCTTTGTTGCAGCATCGTTGATGCTTCTTGGGCTTACACTGGTCCTCTTCCTCCTGCTCCCTTCTCCTTCCTGCCTCCTCCTCCCTCCTCTCTCCTCCATCCTCTCTCCTTCTTCCTCCCTCCTCACCAATCTCGTCCAGACGTTATCAGCAACGCTGAGATGCTGAGAAGAGTGCGAGCACGGATGCTTGTCCATGGCACTGCTCATCAGCATCCTCCTCACCCTCTTACTCTGGAGTCCACGCGTCCGCCGTCCTCCTCCTCCTCCTCCTCCTCCTCCTCCTCCTCCTCCTCCTCCTCCTCCCCCCTTCCGCTCTTCTCCCTCCCGAAGAACTTCCTCTTCCTACTCCTTCTCCCTTCCTCCCTTCCTCCTCCCCCGCTTCCCCTCCCTCGTCCTCCCTCATCTGCGCCTGCCCCCCCCCCTTCCTCCTGCTCCTCCCCCCTTTCTCCTACTGCCCCTCCTGCGTAGAATCTGGCCTTTCCTCCTCCTCCTCCTCCTCCTCCTCCTCCTCCTCCTCCTCGTCCACCTCCGCCTCCTTTCACGACATCGCGAGCTTCCACGAAGCGAAATCTTGTGGTTGGCTCTCCTTCTATCTGGCCGCTGGCCCAAGAAGAAGAGGGGGGCACACCCTCACCACCTGGGACAGCCATACAGTCGGGGCGTTGACCTAAGGAACCCTAAATAAAAAACGGGCCCCCTTTTCCCATAAGCTAAACTTCGATTTCCCATGGAAAACCTCAGGAAAACCTCAGGCAAACTGCACCAACAATCAAGGAACACCGAGCCCCTCCCCAACGAGAAGGGTTCCTTCTTCAGCGCCCCGACTGTAGGCCAGTGAACACTCCGTGGTCTGAGCAGGACTTCGAGCCGCGACCAGGCAGCCTGCGGAGACATCAGGGGCAGTTTGGACCGGTCTTGAGGGGCAACGGTGGGGGATGGGGGGGGGCCAGCTCGAGGGGGGAGATGAGGATCATCGACCTGGAAGCGGCGATACATCGCCGATAGATCGGCGAGAGGTCGATAGGTCTCGAAAGCGAATCCGCACGCTCCTGGGCGGGTTGGGCATATCGGGCCCCTATGGGCAATGAATGGTCGATTGGCGTCGATGCGTTCCCCCCTGAGTTCAATCCCCTGACGTTGTCCCTGACCCCAACAGGGCAGGGCTGCTTAGCAAACGCCCAAGACCGTGTAGTAAACGCCGATTGTCCGCTCGGGGTGGTTATTTTCCTCCCTTGAGGTAGGGTAGATCGCTCGCTATCGGCCGACGGAGGGCGACGGGGAGGGGGACGGGGAGGGGGACGGGGAGAAGGAGGAGGAGGAGGAGGATGAGGAGGAGGGAGGAGGAGGAGGAGGAGGAGGAGGAGGAGGAGGAGGAGGAAGAGAAGGAGGAGGAGGAGGTCGCTGGCGGCGCTCAACCTCGACACCCGCACTGGGATCGCCGCCGCGGCAGCGCGGCGCGCGAATCTGCAGTCGCGCTCGTCTCATGATGGGGTGCGCGATGGGGATGCGAGGGCCCGGGGAGGACATCTCGAAGCCTCTCGAGCGGAGCGCGGCCAACCGAAGTGGTCACGGATGGACCGAGGAGGCAAGGATTGAAGGGGCCCTGGGACACACGAACAAATACACACAAATAACAGGATCCCCCATATCTTATCCTTTAATTTCTGGGTTTCTGTCTTCCCCCTCACTTCCGACATTTTCCCATATTTTCCTGGGAGTCGACGATTGATTGTGTCTGTGTGTTTTTGTTCCCCTCCTGATGACGGCACCCCCGACGCGCGAAGTGCAGGGCAGGACAGATCGTTGGCTGCAGAACTCACCTCGTCGGGAGCGACAAGTCCTCGAGGCCCAGACCAGTGTGATTTGAGCGGGGACCGACCGTCCCGGCGTTACCACGAAATGTTCTTAGAACCCAGAAATGTTCTAAGAACGAAAACCATGTTCTTAGAACATTCACCCGATGTGTTAAACCAAGACAGTCCCAGCCAGAAATGTTCTGAGAAAATTTCGTGGAAACGACAAAAGGTTCTTAGAACATTGTTTGGTAAGGCTATAGGCGAGCCAGGACGCTTCGCCACTGCTTGAGTGATGGCACCAGTGCCCCAAAAACGACCCCCGACACGCGAAGTCCAGGACAGGACAGATCGTCGGCTGCAAAATTCATAGCGTCGGAGATCTGGGAGTGACAGAATCTAGGTCGGGTTTCTTGAGGAAGATTTCTTGTGGTCGGGCCTCCACTGTACCCTGTCAACTCCGTCTTTGGCGTCGACTCGCGTCGATGAACGTCTGGAAATCGAGGAGATGGCGCCGATGTAGCATCGGTGAACGCCGATAAACGCCGATGTCGCGTCGATGAGCGTCGACTTGGCGTCGAGGAGCGTCGCTTCGCAAGAGCGACATAAGGGTATGGGAGGCTCCCATGAGCTGCCACCGAAGAGAAAACGCAGCGCTTGGGGTCCCCTGAGGCCCTGGCGACTCCATTTTTTCGAGTCGGGCGTGGTCGCTACACTCCCGGGCCCCAGGACCCTCACGCAGCGCCCCGGCTCGAGAACTGATGCAGAAAGGTGGGGTCCCTGGGGCTCCGGTCGTTACTCTTGCGGCGCCGCATTCTCTTTGCCGCGTCGGATCTCCGGGGCTGCCTGCCGGCGCCCGAGCCCGACCTGCGCTGCAAGGCAGAGGAAGTGCAGGACTTGCCCGGCACGTGCCGGCGGCCGGGGCCGGCTATCGAGGGAGCATACCATGTCGTTGAACTTAGGCTGGCGACGCCAAAACCGCGCCTGCGCGCTTCTCTAGCGAGCCCAGCTGCGCTGGCGCGCGCATATCGAGATTGGAGTACATGTGCGCAGATGCTTCAATCTCGAGGGGGGCTCATGGTGGGACACGGCAAAGGGGACCTGACTACCTACCAGACCACCCCAACCCAACCCGAAGATCCGAATTTCGGGTTGGGGGGGGTAAGGGTTCCACATGTGTTTTTTCTATGTTTCGAGTCTAAATTGAGGGTAATTTTGAGGGTAAATTGAGAGCCTTCGGGTTGGGTTGGGGTAAATCGAGGGTAAATTTGAGCCTTCGGGTTGGGTTGGGGTGGTTTGGTGGGTGGTGAGGACCACTGCCCAGTGGGGGGCCCGCTTGCTCGGCGCTGCCAGCCGCTCGCGGGCGCTGGCGCGTTTCGGAGCCGCCGGCTCCGTCGGAGTGACTGAGTATCGCTTGGCCGATCCCCATCCCCAGCGGCGTGGCCTGGGCCCCACTCTCCTCCTCCTCCTCCTCCTCCTCCTCCTCCTCCTCCTCCTCCTCCTCCTCCTCCTCCTCCTCCTCCTCCTCCTCCTCCTCCTCCTCCTCCTCCTCCTCCTCCTCCTCCTCCTCCTCCTCCTCCTCCTCCTCCTCCTCCTCCCCCTCCTCTCTCGGACCCCTCCCGCGCCGATTTACCCCCTAGATGGGAATAGAGGCCGTTCCCTTCGGGTTTCGAGGGGCGTATCCCCAACTGGGGTGGTGATTCGGTGGGGGTCTCGAAGGGGATGGGCATAGGGATGGGGATTGGACAAACGAGTTACTGAACGACGGGACAGCCTGACAGCGCGGTGCCAGCCACCATAGGGAGCCCACGAAGGACGCACGCGCCCAGCCACGCACCGGAATGCGCCCCCCTCCCCCCCCCAAAATCCGCGAGGCCAGCCTTGTGTTATCCGCGCTCGCGCAAGGCATGCGCTCGACACTCCTGTCAGAACGCATGCCCGCGGGCGTGCTTTTTGCTCTTGGTCCACGGTGTCCCTAGGACTTCCAGGGATACACCCCCCGGTCTCCAGAGAAGCCCGGCACGAGGCCTTGAGTGCCCCATGGGCTCCAAGATGAAGCCAAGAGCTGGCGATACCGTGGGCCAGGGACACCTCTGGCAAACCCCGATTTGCTGAGGAGAGCATGCGAATGCGGGGGAAACGGACAAGCTAAGAGAGGATAAGAGAGGAGAGACGAGGAGACAGGAGAGAGGCAAGCTAGGCGCGCCCGCGCCATCTCTGACATTCTACCCCCTTCACTCATCCCTTCCCATTGCGCTGATGTTGTCTCTATCTGCGGACGCGTGTCATAGCCGATCTGGAACTCCCCCTGAAGGCCCCATCGCGTTCTGTGCAATCGGGAAATAAGAAGCTGCGTGCAGTGGAGGAGGGAGGGAGGAGGACCAGAGCAAACCTAAGACTCGAACCCAGGAACAATGCAAACCCAACACGAAACCCTCCTTTCCCTCCAAGTTCCATCTTCATAGGCCCTACAGAACGTTAACAAAGTGTTCCTGATATGCATCCCCTGGGGATAAGAA